CCTAAGGCCCACACGGTGGCTGATAGGCTCAATTGGGTGGCTAGTAGATGGGCAGATAGCCTCAACGCCTCCGCTGCCTTGCTGCATCAATCTAATCAAGCTGATCAATCAAGCTTCGTCTTTTAAGCTTGATTGCTAACCAATCTCTATGCGAGAGGCTTGATTGATGGAACCGTTGGCTTGATTGTAGATTGATCAAGCGCTTGTAAGCCGCTTGATTGTTGACAGGTCTGACAGACAATCAGCCGCTTCTCAGCAACCATCCCATGCTTGGGGAGCAGACACTATCCATGGACGACTTTCAAGCAGACTTGTCAACAAACAAAACAAAACAGGATTTTGAGCCTATCCTGACTTGATTGGAAAATTGGCGATCGCGCGTCCTGTATTGATTGTTTAGTGTTAAGTTTTAGGTAATCCTGATTGAAGATTGATTAATTCCTGGTGTTTTGATTGCAATCGTGACTGTAATTATATACAAATTATTAGCTAGCGTAATCCCACTCGCATACCTTGTAGACGTCGTCAATCTTCTCATCTGAAATCAGCGCCTCTGCGTCAGCTTGGTTTTAAGGCTTAAAGCCTGCCGCCCGCCAACTCTTTATACACTGCAGTGCCGCCAGTAAGTTGCTGCTAATCTTGCGCCTCCGAGGCTCTAACAGGTCACCTAGTTCACTGAACATGCGCTCACAGTCGCAGCTGGAGGCAGGGATTGTAAGGACGTCGATCGCGAGCTGCGCTAGCTGCGGGTATTTAGGGCGTAGGTCCTGCCAATACTTAATCGGATTAAGTCCGGAATCAAACTGAGCGTCATCCCAAGGCAGCTCGAAGCGCCGCCAGCGCTCTAGCTGATCCACCTCTGCTACCTCCGCCGTCTGGTCAGTGTTGACCATAGCCGCTATTGCGTCGCGGATAGAACTTGTACGAGGCGCTAGAGTGCGCGCTAGAGGTGCCAGAGGGCGCCTGTACTGCGCCCAAAGTTGCTGTAGTCCAGCTTCACCTGCGCGGATCCACGACGGCTTGTCGCGCCAGCTCTTCTCGCAGTAGCTTTTGTAGTATGGATGGAGGCAACAGGCAGCGTAGTAGGCGGGAGAGTCGTCGAGGAGGAGGTAATAGCGGTCGAGCTTGTGCCAAGCAGCGCGGAGGTTAATTACGAGGTGATCCTCTGGGGCGTGAAGTTCGTTGTGATTGACGCCGCCGTACGGCTCAAGAGCTGTTTCGTAGGCTTTTAGCACGGCCTCGTAGACTGGATATACCTCGTAGATTGCGCCAAAGCTGCCTGAAGTACCGCGGGCTTCGAGGCTTCTTGTAGCCTCCTTCAGCGGCTTCAGTACTGCGATATACTCGGTAATCACTGCCCAGTCTGCCGCAGTAAGCCCACCCGATCTCATCCACGCTGGGGCATCTAGCAGCTTATTGCGGCGGCTAGCAGCGTACGCGTCGTCGCGAGCCTGACGCTCTATGTGATCGCTAGCGTACTTGTCAACAGCGTCCTTCAGCAAAACTGCGCGCTCAAAGGTATCGTGATAGCTGTTCCACCGAGTAACAACAGGTTTCACTGGCTCTAGTATCGCAGTAGTGGCGGCATGCGGGAGCGCATTGACTAAGCGCTGAGCGTCCTCAAAGAGTGCATGTTGCTTAGGCGTATTGATGTAGTTTACTATCGCGATAAGTACGCCTAAAGGTCCCTCGCAACGCCACTCCTTTAAGTATTGCGCCTCAACTTTCCACTCGTCCTCACTATTGTTGTACGCCTCCTCATCTACACCGAACATAATTGCCTGCCCAATAAGATTCAGCGTATGAGGCGCGCAACGGAGCCGGCGGTGAGCTTTAACAAAGCTGTGGAGGCGAGCGAGGTTGGCAACAGCGGTATCGTTAGCGGATGCGTTGTCGAGTATAAAGTAGCCTAGCTGGGTGCTACTAATGCCGAATTCTTGCAGTACCATAGTAACAACTTCGGCGATTTTCTCACCCGTGTGGGCGCCCGTAAGCTGCGGCAGGGCAATAGGCAGGTCCCTGATAGTGCCGGCAGAGTCAGCAAAGTGAGCAACAATGCCCATAAAGCCGCGCTTGCCACCTTTCGTTGTCCACCCGTCAAAGCTCACGTGGATCTTACTAGACGCGTTTGACAACAACAAGATAACCTTTGGCTGAAGGTAGCTATACAACCTTATAACGTATCGCGAAACGCTATTGTGGCTTGTCCATAACGCTTCCGCTGCCTCCGGGTTGGCGTACGCAATCATATCTCGGAACGACTGCGTTTCAAACTCGCGTAATGGGTGGTTGTTGTCAATAAGCCAGCTCACTGCTGCGTACCTAAAGCCAGCAACGTCGAAGTTGCCTACTGTGTTGGCAACCTCCTGGCTAACAACAACGCCTTTGTGGGCTGCCCATTGCAACGAGCGTTGCCCACCTGGCAGCGCCTTTAGCGCTACAGCACCAGCTTTTGTTATGTTGTGGCCAAGCTTAACCTGGGCGAGGTGGCGTAGCGCAGCTGTCGTTGATGACGTCGTCTCATGGATGAAGCTCTGGTGGCTTACACGGCGCTGGTGGCAGTACTTGCACACCCAGAACGTGCGCTGTGGAGCTTCAGACTTGCTAACTCGATAGCCATACTTGTATATCCAGCTCTTCTTATGTCGTGGTGTACGCAAAGGCTTACAGTAACCAGGTAATCGATCCCATACAATGCCCGCGAAGTCATCCGCAAGGTGGCTATCTGGGCCTCCATCACTGCCTTCATCACCGCTATTAACAACCTCAAGCACTTCGGTAGGCGCGTTAGTGGCAGCATTCGAGCTTTTAGTAGGCGCAGCGATCGCGTTTTCCGGCAACAAATAAAGCAGCTGCCTTTCGAACGGACGCTCGTCGGTCGCCTGGCTTGCGGCAATAGCCAGCGCTTTGCGTGGTGAGGTGCGTATAGGTATCTCAGGCGGCGTAGCCTCTATAGGGATAGGCTGTGAGGCAGTGCCTTGGGATGTTTTGGCGCGCTTTGGAGCTACTTTGTGCGCTTCAGCGCTGCGTTTTGAGCGTACAGGAGGCATATGGGCTGCGGAGGCAGAGCCAGAGGCGGCGGCGGCGGCAATGAGTGCTAGGTGACTAAGCGAGCATCACTAAGTGAGTGTGTGGGAGATAGTGGGTGCTGGAAGAATTGAAGGATTGAACTGAGGTGGTATTGTGTATGTATGTATGTATGTATGTGTTGAGAATACAGTCCGTAAGTGACTTGGTGGTATCAAGCGGAGGAGTAGTCACATGATTGGTGACACGTGCAGGTGGGTCCTAGCGGGGAGCTTGGACGCAGCTGCACGCAACACGGATCTACGAACGTGTGAATAGCTCCTTAGTCAATACAATACGAATCTGTACCACCACTACCGTTGTGCCTTAGAGAGCGCTCTATTAGGTAGTCATACTACTACTAATAGTGCCAGCTTCTCAATAGTATGTATTGTTTAACGTCCTATGAAAGCCTCCCAGGGGGCTTGAAAGACGGGTAGCGCCCTGTATGGTACTCAGGTGCTCCTATTCTTTGGGTGTTGGCAGTGTGTGCAGTCTGGTAGGGTAATTTCCGCCAGTTGAAAAGACTCTATCTAGGTTCTGGGCCGTGGGGCCAGGGATGTGTTGAGCAATGAAGCAGAGCTCTTGTTCTGGGGCCAGTGGGCATTAGGGTGGATCCCTTGTGTTCTGAGGCAGCTAAGTGCCGTAAGAGAGAGTAAGAAAAAGGTACGTGGGTGTGGAGAGCCGGTGCTCTGTCGAATCGGAGCCGTGGCTCTGCGCGAGGAAAGCCTTTGTACTAGGCTTGGCGATGCCTGTGTCGAAGGAGATAGGTGTAGTAGGAAGGCAGAGCCAGGCCTGTCCTTCTTCTTTATCTCTTAAAGTTGCGAATCTGTAAGGCCATGCTGGCTGCCTTATTTGCGGTCAAGAGCCAGTGCTCTGTCGTGTAGGTGTCATGGCCCTGCATGAAGCAGGGACAGGGCCTTCGAGGTGTAGGAGAGGTGGGTGTGAAGGCAAGGCGATGCCAGAGCTTGTCCTTCCCCGTCTCTAATTTGTTTGTAAGGCTATGCTGGCTGCCTTGTTTGCGTGTTGTGTCAGATTGGGGACTCTGACCGTTGGTCTTTAGAGAGCTGCGGGCAGCTCTCGTCGTTGTAGGTGTGGAGAGCCGGTGCTCTGTCGGGTCGTGCCGTAGCTCTGCGCATGGAGAGCCTTTGTATTTAGGCCTGGCAGATGCCTGTATCTTGCAAGAACAAGGAGTGTCAAGGCTGTCTCCTTGTCTTAGCGGTGGTTGTGGCCTTCGACCGAACGTGAAAATCTGAGTAGCGCACGGGCCATTTTGAAGACATCTCAGCTCACCAGGGAGATGAAAGACAAAAGAGGCCAGCGCGCCTGCCACAGCGCCTGCAGCCGGAAGAGGACGCTGGAAAACAGATTTAAGAAGGCATTTGAGTCTTGTTTTGATGAAAAATCGATGGATATCGACCTTTCGTTGACCTGGAAAAGTTGATGTTCGGTGAGGTGGTATTGTGTAAGGCTACGAACTGTATATGTAGGTGGGTGACTATCAACAGCACTAGCCCTTAATAGGCATCGCGCCTTTACCATAAGTGAGTTGCGACTGCAGAAGCAGAGCAGGAGAGACCCCAAACCGTGACAGAGTGAGACTACCTAAGTGATTGTGAGATCGTAGTCTATATACATTTAATCAGGAATCAGGATATTTTCAATCAGGAAGAGAGCTTGATCCTGTTTTGCTTGCAAAATACGCTTGAGTCTGATTGACCTGATTTGATTGAATAAAACGTCAGGAATCAATCAGGATCAATCAGGACTCCTGTTTGTTGACAAGTCTGCTTTCAAGGTAGAGTAGATTTGGTTTCAATGCATAAGAGCTAACTAACTCATTGGCAGCTCAGGAAGAAGGTTTAGTTGCGCGCGTAGCTTCTTCCGCTACTATGCGACCGGTGTCTTATGACAGCAGGCAAGGAGACTTACAAATGGCCCCGACATATAGAGGATTTGCGGACGGCGATGAACGCCCGCAGCAGACACTCGTGCCCAGTTTCAAAAGAAAGCGAGCACGAAGTGGCAAGGATCGAGCTACCTGGGCTTACAATCATATCCTCCAGTTGGAACGGCAGAAACTGTTTAGCAAACCAGAAGTAGAGCGAATGCAACTGGAAAGATTTTTAGAACATCCCGAAGTCAATCAGCTGGACGATGGCTCTGTGCCATTTCGCTTCTTGTATCTAACGATCGGCAGCTCGCAAACCCTCATGGACTTCAGCGACCAGTTACGAGTCGCTAGGGATACACAAAATAGGCTAGGGGTGCCCTTATGCTCCCCTTCAAGTATCTCAGAAACATTCAACACGATATGTCGCCTTGATACTACAGAAGCCACCTGCATACTCCTGAAACGCTATTACGCCATCAAGCTCTTAGAGGAAGAGGAAGAGGAAGAATACCACGGTCTAAACAGCGAAGACATACCTGTCGAGACTCCGGAGACGATGAGCAAAGAAGGTACAACTCAAGTGGGAAATCCTACAGTGATCCGAGATGCTGCACTGATAGACAGGCAAACATCCAAGATCAGGCCGGACGCGCAACCAGGATCAAGAGAATTCCTCATCATCCGCCGAAAGGTCAAGCGAATTCGCCAGCTCGCAAAACGCTTGCGAGGGTTGACCAACCTTTACGGTATAGGCATACTTGCTCTCCTTCCATCTGGGTCATCGTTCTCAGGCTTCTCTGTGACCGACGCTATGTGGGTAAACTATAGCCTAACGCTCTCTAACAATCGTGCTGATGCGGTCAGGTTGCTAGCCATGAGCGAGCAACGTTTTGGTCTGTTCATCCGGTTACTGCATCGGGAGCAGGGTCAACTTCTAAAAGGGCTGAGTGAAGCTGTCGCACCAGCTCTGACGACGCTAGCGACGTTTGGTCTTGGACATCAGATAAAGTTTGACTTTGAGAAAGTGGACTTGGTGAGGCTCGGCGATGTCCCGAAGGCTGCACTTGCCGTGTTGATTGTTTCTCCGTAGCTGAAAATAATCACACGTTTCCACAGACGTAGGTGACAACGTGACTGACAAGCGCGTCGGGCCGTGAGCGACTAAGCATTACCAGTGGCCACTTATAGGATTGCCATTTCGTGGCACGATCGTTAGTGCTCAGCGGAAACAAACTGGCCAGGTCTGCCGCGTCACCAGTAAGCTTTTTGTCGGCTAGTCTACGCTTGACTTTGCCGATCTTCTTTCAACATCCTGGTGCATGATGTGACGGTGTGAGGAGAGGAGGAGGACTGCGTTGCATTGTGTAGCTATGGAGGAACTGCAGCTATATAGGTGTGTGTGATGAGAAAGTGTGGTAGCGATAGCCGTACCCAACTCTCACCTAAGTTGGTCTTGGCAAGGCCCAAACCGTTACACATGAGGTCAGGGCTGAACACGTTCGTTTGCAGCTCGTCAGACATCGTTTCGTGGCGGTGAATTACAGATGTCGCCATGGAAAGTGTCAATAGGACCTGGTGAGGAACATGTGTGAATCGTGTTCTATTGGTTCTATGGAAGGGACGAGCTATGTACGAAGGGGCAAGCTTGGCGCTAGGCCTAGAAAGTGCTAGCGTAAGAGGGAAGATGGGCTGAGAACCTCGGACAGGACACTAGAGGGCTACGGTATATTACCGTGCCTGACATATACAATCCCAAAGTCACATCAGAAGGCGGACGACTCTTAAAAAGAAACGATATTACAATGCAGCGGTATATCAGATGCTGTACTAGCTGCTGAATATCGTACAAGGAAGCTAGTACCTCGGGTAACACAAAGAATAGTATTCCCTTAATACATATTTTTCTCTTTATGCATTGAATGCCGTAAAACCTTGAAGTGGACAATATAACTCATGTCGACGCCGTGAATACAAGGTTACCAGAATACATGTGCGAAAAGTCAGGTCAATCAAAGGCATGCATAACTGGCTGTGCTCGGGCGAACAGATATGACGATCGCTTTTCTCGGCACAACGCTCGCTGAGAGCGTCATAGAATAACTCGGAGTTAGAGAAACCAAGGCCGCGTTTAGTGTTTTTACATTTGACTGTGCTTAGATGACTCCCTTCATATTATGTGTGAGAGGGCAACTATGCAGCGGAGAAGCTAGTATGGGGCTTTAGGCAAGCGCTACAGCCAACATAGAGGCCTGGAAGTGCAATGCTATTGCTCTAACATGACTTCCTCAGCTATCTAGCCTTCAAAGACTTCAGGATCTAGAGAGTGTGTGCCCTCTTGACGAAGTATACTCCCAATTGCTGCATCGTAGTATGCGTGGTACTCGCTTGCCTTCCCTTGCCAAATCTCAGCCTCCGAATCAAACAGCATACATTTCTGATCGCTTCCACTCCAATCTTGTGGAAAGTCGCAGAGTTTTGAAAGAGTGAGCGACGTAAGAGAAAGACCTTGTGCAATCTCATTAAGAGTTACCTCCCAGGTATTCAGAGGATCTTCTAGTCGTACGAGTGACATGCGGGTGAGCGTAAGAGAGCGTAATGTGAGCTTGTGAGCATGTAGGAACTGTACCAGGGTACTTCTATCCGTGGCGATTTCGAGTTTGATGTCACGAATTCTGCTCCAGGGCGAGTGGCGGGTCAGCTAGACAAGTAGCTGAATGGAGTCCTTCGCGCACTGCCTCTCGGTGGATTAGAAGAGCGGCAAGAGGATGCCGTCGACAAGTCTTCCAAAGACTAAGCGTGAATTTTTTAGGCCTTTCGTGGCGGTAAGAAAGCCAAAGACGAATTTGGCAGCAGTTTCCAGGCTACCCACTAGTTCGTCTTCGTCGGACACGACGTAATCGAGGTGTGTAAGACCACTTACAGCGTACCTCATATAATTCAGCTACTCCTAATAAAGCTTACTCTTCCCCACAGTCCGCAACAATCAATTAAGTGGGTCCTAGAAGGTTCAGATTGGATTGATTGATTACCGCTTTAAGCCTAGTAGTTACCTATAGGAGTTTAAGCCCTACCTAGATAGGTAAGTGGGTCTAGGAGAGTGACCGGATTGAATTGATTGTTGCGGAGTCTACTCTTCCCGGACATTGATTGATTGATCAAGGCTGCCTCTCTGTCTGCTTCTACTGCGGTAGAATGGGAAGACCGACAAGTCCGTGTTATCTCGTGCCTATCACCATCTCAGAGAAGATGTAAGCGCGCTGGGGTGGCAAACGCTGGTCCGCCGACATACATGCTCAGCTTTGTGAGCCTGCGATCTCCCTGTCTACCCTATGCAAGCGACTGGAGAACGATCGATAATTGAAGTGCTTCTATATCCTCGTCTTTAGAGTAACTAGTGTCGCAGACCACTAACGAAGGATGGAAGTACAGATTCCGCCATCGACAAGCCCAGTCGCTATAGAGAAACCCCGGTTCGTGCTTAAGGGTTCTCAAATTTGGGAGCGTCTTGAGCGCCTTACAAATTGTTCAACAGCAGGTTCTACTCCTGTGGAGCGAACGGCCCTGTTAGGGTGAATCATCGTTGACTTCGCAGCACTTGATGTTCGAAAGCGTAATGTATTCGTTATATCGCGAACCTCCATCTGCGCTTGCTCGCGATCCGCCTTATACTCCTGGTATGGTATTTTCTTCTGTTCCTTTGGCAGTGCGACCCATTCAGTATACGGTAGAAGACTGTTGCTGGCATGCTCGTTGTCGTAATAGCTGGTTTCACTTGGAAGAGTTAGCTGGTCGCCAGGATCGCCTGGTTGATGTATGCTCGCAGTCCAAGCGTCGAAGTTGCGGAATTCTCTGTAGCCGCGAACCCTATAAGTTAAAGTACCAGAGTTTTCACACACGGAGAGAGTGCCGGGTGGCGGGAGATGTTATAGAGACTCGCAGCCACGTCCACAAAGCTCAAAGTACGCGCTCTCAAAGAGAAGAGGAGTGGTTAGCTTATTTAAGCGTTTGCACGTTCCTCTGACTTGCTTCCAGAGTAATGCGTCTCCATAGCTAAAGATCGTGAGCCAGACCTCGTCCGGAAGATGGAATGGAATTGCGGCATAATCGTCCATAACAAGAACAAGAGCCACAAGAGCCATAACTATACTGATCGTGAGAAGTAATCTTAGGGCGTAGTAGGCGCTAAGTAATGAGCAACGAGTTGGGTTGTTGGTGGATGGGACAGTTGCCGTATGCATTTTGGTGGGGCAGGCCCAAGCTCGGTAGGGCGCCAAGCCGAGCGGGCATCCTGCCTCAAGACGATACGCGACACGTTAACTACGTCGCCAACCGTGATAATTGCGGCAGATACCCCGTTTTGCGCGGTCGTATCCCGCCAACAATATCCTCTCACAAGTGCCTTGCCTAGCGGTGCCCTTCAACCGCCGTGAACATCGCGTAACAATAGTGCAGCGGTCAGACCGCTGAACGGACCTGAAGCTAGACACCTCCGATCCTTTTCGAGGGATGCCACTCGACTCGAATCGTAATCTTCATACCTGGATGAAGTACTACGAACACAAATAATCACAACTGTTGGTAGGCCTTGTATGATCGTACGGGTGAATAACAACAACGAGATTCTTCTAGTAATTAGTATTGGTATTCATTCTCTACGAACATAGGTGCTACGAAGGTATGCGGTCATTTCCCTGAACCTGGAGATTGTGCGGCACAGCTGCTCGCAGGAGCCTAGGCTACCCTTGTCTGCACTACGGCGTAGACGGAAGGTCCGCGTGAGATGCCGGGCACTCTGTCGCTTAACTTTGCGCACAAGCCTACTTAGGAAGCGTAAGCTGCTTACTGCTAAGCAGACGCGACACGGCGGCACAGTTCTTGTCATGACAGCCTTGCGCTAAGCCGATGATAGATTCTTCAAAGCGCTTACGGTAGTCATTGAGTCATGTCACGGTCAACCTCACTTCTAGCGTGGGCCAACTGATGAAAGGTAGTGATGCGAACATGATGTTGTTGTATTATGGTAGCTACGAAAGTGGGAGATAATCGAGCCGAAGAAGGACGCTAGTCCCAAATAGGAGGCGCTAACAAGCGCTCCCTCGAACACCAACCGTGGCAGCCTTGCTGTTCCAGCTCGGCCGCTTCTGCACCGCAATCGTTGCTATTGGCCATTGCATACATACAGTCACTACCAAGTGGGCACAATCAGTGATTGCATGATTCTCGGTGCCAAAGCGGCCGAACCGGGATAGCAAGGCTACTACGACCCTTCCAAGCTACAAGCGAGGCTGACTGCGACGTGACTTAATGACGATCGTAAGGAATTTGAAGGATCCATCGACCCAGCGCAAGGCTGTCTTGACAAGAACTGTGCCGCAGCGGCGCGTCTGCTTACCAATAAGCAGCTTACGCTTCCAAAGTGTGCTGTCAAACTACAAAAAGGCCGACCTTCTTGCAGTGAATGCTTGAAGGTATATGTAGTCGATATAGTCGATAGTCTGACATGTGCTTGTAAACAAGATTAAACGATAGAGGTCTCGGCATCTAAGCGTACAGTAGTTAACGATTGCGGTTTCACTCCTGCAGGCAGGTACATAGAGATTCTCAACAGCCCCACCTTCTGTGCATGGCTTAGCGCTATGATGCTTGCCGCGGAACAGTTGATGGAATTGGTCGCTTCTCTATTTCATGATGACCAGACTGTCAAAATGCTGCCTGTAGGGGTGTCAGATATTCACTCTCATCTGGAATACTGATGAAATAGGTAATAATGGTGATGATGTTGATGATTGATTGTGTGTTGGTTCTGTCTACGGTTGTGGGCACACCTGGGGGGGTGCCAAGCCTTCCTGTGATCCGATTGGCTCTCACAGATGCCAGGTCGCGCTAGTCTAACCCAGCGTCTGTACGCTCTCATCTTCAACAGTGCTATTATCTGACAAGGGGTGAAGCCGTAATCGCTAACTACTATACTACGCTTGCCTCGTCTACCATCTGTATACGTCATAGTACGGACAAGGGTAGGTCAGGCTCCTGCAAGCAGCTGTGCCGCTTGAGAAGCGTAAGCTGCTTACTAGTAAGCAGACGCGCCGC